CTTTAGGTTCAAGTATCAGGAAACACACGGCCCCATGATAGAATCTCTCACATGATACTTTTATACAATGTGTGAGAATGAAATCTTCATTTTTCTTTTTCACCTAAAAAAAAAAAAAACCCATGATTAACCAAGTTAAAAACTAACCACATTTTCCCTTGAACAAACTCATGTGATTGGCAAAGAGGCACAGTGTATAAACACGGGAAGGAAGTGCATGGGAGCTCCAGCTTGGGTTTCTACTTCTCAGGTCATGCACTCACCATTTGGGACCCCTCCCCCCCTTTTGGATCTTAAATGTCACAAACAAAGGATTCAATCAATGCCATAGAAGGAAAATCAACCCTGATATGTGTGATCAAGTATTGCTTGTTGGGAAGTGTGATTTCTGTGTGAAGGTGTGGTCAGATTGCTTGTTAAATGACAAGGAAGGTAGCAATGGGGAGAGGATTCGAGGAGCTGGCACTGCCTACCTTCATGGGGCTTGAAGATATCCCCACAATGCAGGAAATACGTCCAGGATGCCTTTTCCAATGCTTGCTCCATTAAAGGCTATTCAGGAAGGACCTGAGCCTCGTTTTGACCCCTTTCATGGTGTTGTAAGGAGCCAGCTGCATGTGTGAGGAGTAAGAGAAACACGGAGGCTTTGGTCCAATTTTGAATGTATGTGACACTGTAAATGGGTGTTTCTTCTCTTTCTTTGTCCCTATGCCCCATTTCTCCATAGAGTTGAATCTTTGGTGAGCAACTAACTGTGGTCATTACATTTTATGTGTCTAAAATAAGTGGGAAAAAAATTAAATATATACTTAGATGGTATTTCCTGTAATTGAATGGATATACATTTATTGGGTAGCTTTTAACATGTAAAGCTCAGAGCATCCCTTAGGTGATATTTTCTTTCTTTTGAATCCAGCCTCAGGAGTTCCATGTTAGGCTCCACTCCATCCACTTCATGCAGTGCTTGCATCTGCTAGCCCACTGCACGCTCGTATAGAAATACACAGACATGTTTCCCTTTCAGACAACATCTTGGGTTGCTTTGATAGCTTTAATAAATGGTTTTTAATAACTTGCTGTTCCCTTTGAAGCATCATGACTTTTGTGGGAATGAGGAAAGGCAGACAAGGATGTTTAAGGCAGTCTGCGAGGTCTCTGGGAAACCATTCATGGCTACTGGGTTGCCAGATGAGTGTTAAGTTTGACAGAGGTATTTTTTGATCCCTTTTATCAAGTGTGGAGAAATTGTGTGTGTGTGGCGTGTATATATGTGTATTGTATAAATGTGTGCATGTGTGCCTGTGGGGTGTGTGTATATGTGTGTGTACATACGTATGCTGTGTGTGGTATGTATATGTGTGTGGTGTGTGTGTAGTGTGAGTTTGTGGTATGTGTATGTATGTGTGCATGTATCTGTGGTGTGTACTGTGGTGTGTGTGTGCTGCGTTTATGTGTGGTGTGTGTGTATGTATATGTATGGTGTGCGTATGTATATGTGACTGGCGTGTGTGTAGAGTATGTGTATTTTGGTCGCACTAAGAGTTGTGATGAAAGGGAGAGTTTGCAGAGGCAGGGTCCATTTTTTGCACTGCTTGAACAGATGGGTTACTGGCTGTCAGGAGAGGAAGAGAGTTTGGGGACCATTAGGTAGCACTGGGAATCTGGCTTCTCATTTTTACATTTTATTAACTTGGCCTGTAACTTTGTTAGCTCAAATGACTGATAGAACTCAGAGTTCTTGGAGGATCAGCAGACCAATAATACTAAGATTAGCTGCCAGGGAGGAGAAGACTAAATAGAAATGGTAGCAATTCAGCATCTCCTTGCTGAGTAGGTAGATGACTCAGTGCACTTGGTAAAACATTCAAATTGCTCTATTAAACTGGGAAGTGTGTGAACGTTAATATTATTACATCACAGTGGGGAATGGCTTGTTTTTGTTGGTGGTGTGTCTGCAAATCAAACATAAATCCTGAACTGAAACATTACTTTTCACTGACTAGGTGGGCAGCTGAGTGAGAACAAAAACCCAGTTAATTGATTCTGTAGCAACTCCAGGAGCTCAGGTTTGTGCCTCTAGGTGAGGCATTCCATAGCAGAACCCCTCCTAGCAGCGGGAAAACACTGCTTTATTGCCTTGACATTCATTCATTCATTCATTCATTCATTCATTCATTCAAATCCAAATCAACAGTGGATTGTCATTAGGTCATTTGCTAGGACCTGGGGCTTTGTTAAATTGAGCTGTAAATTAAATGTTAGCTATTGTCTGGCATGGTGGTACACACCTTTAATCCCAGCACTTGGGAGACAGAGGTTGGCAGATCTCTTGTGAGTTCGTGGTGAGCCTGTTCTACACAGAGAGTTCTGCAATTGCCACAGCTATCTAGAGAGACCTTGTTTCAAAACAACAACAAAAAACAAACAAAAAACTAGCTATCAAAGAGGTACTAAAAACCTGTTGTATGTCTTAAGGAAAGGAATCCCTGATAAGAGCTTAGAAGTGGACAGAGTCACGAGTAGGGCTAACTGGACCGAAAGCACGTTCTCCTGAAGGCTCCACCACCCTTAGGGGATTCTCTGACATTGGAAATAGCAGTTGTAACTGGTCAGATTTCGTCGTCCTTTCTCTTCCATCCCAATCTGATGAAGTCTCATGCATAACAAAAGTGACACATTAGAGGCCTTGTCTCTAAAGCTGACAATACTCATTCAGAAGTCTTAAAAGAAAGTCTGTGCCTGCTGCTGTTCTCACGGTGACCCGGTGGGCTTCGGTGTGGGCGTTCTTCCTGCTGGAGACGGCCTAGGCTTATTTCAGAAAGAAGGTGAGACGTGGGTAGTTCCCAGCACTCTCTCCTCTCTTTTAGGATTTTAAATTTTATCATTTTATTTTATATTTATTTATTTAAATCTATTATTTTCAATTCTATGTGTGGGTGGGTTCAGGGGTGTGTTTGTCCTCTGCAAAAAACAGCGTGCCCTTTTAATTGCTGAGCCATCTCTTTAGTCCGCAACAATACCGTCTCTTGCTCAGCACGATTTTTGTATTTTGTTTTTCCATTTATTTTTACTCAGTTGCAAAACAGATCCCTTTGTAATTCGGGAGCACCTCAACCTGAAGTTGGCTAACATTGATAGGATCTTGTTGTGCTTTCTCCTTGGTCAGGATGAGTCGAAGCTGAGCATCCCCCACCCCACCCCACAACCTCTTCTTTGTTCTTTGATGTTTAGGTCCCTCTCATACTGGATTTGATTCTGATCTTTGCCTATTGTAGGAAGAAATCACTTCACAGTACTGGGAGGATGTAAACGAAATGGAGCAGGGATCCTGGAGGGTGGGGATGCCGTCTGCAGACTCAAGGGAAAGGCGCGTGGGGGGCGGAGGGTATCTGGAGAAAATTAGCTCAGTGGAATCTAAAGGCAAGTTCTGTCCCATGAGTCCTAGCGTGAAGGGTTACTTCACTGAAGGATTTCCTCATGGGTCCTGGCAAATTCAAACAGAAAGAAGAAGAAAGTGATCTTGGCCAAAGTATTAGAATTCTCTTGGTCATGAATTACCAACTCCTTACAGAACAGCAATTAATTCCTTGCTGAGTGAGGACTTTGGTTTACATGCCCTACCCTTGTGGGTAGCTCATCTCTCACCTTGCACCATGCCAGGCTCACAGTGGGCTTGCCGAATATATACCGAATTGAATTAAATGTTGTGGTGACTCCAGAAGCCCCAGGGACTTGTTTCCTTCCCCATCTCTCTGAGTTACTGAGTAATATCCTACGTCCTTGCCATACTCCCATTGGCTTTACTCTTATTTATGCCTTTTTCCCCTAGCAGGGCAGCAGAGTAGCTACCGGCAAAAGAGAATCAAAACATTTATATAAATTTGTGTAAAGCCCGGGAAAGAGATATAGCAGAATGGGGATAAAGGATGAAAAATTGGCAAGCTTATGAGAAATAAAAATGATGCATTAAACATTCTCTGTGGAGAAGAAGTTATAGAGATGGTGGGAAATTTATTTTTTCAGTGTGAGCTGAAATAAGATTTCTCTAAAAATGTAAAATAACATGTGTAACAGAGTTTTGATAGCAAAATCCTTTCTCCAGCAGCCCCAGCAGGTTAGGCTTGGCCACCTCTTCCCTGTATGCAATTAAAGAGACGAGCAGTGCTGAGCAGAGAAATTTGTTTATTGTGACTGCATCAGTAAGAGGGAACAAATGAAAGGTTCACTGACCCCCAAGCCTATCCTCACTCTTCCCATGTGTGCTTTACAGAAAGAACTGGGGTGTAGGCAAGAGATCTGTGTACATAAACAGTCCTGGTCAATGTGGGGTCTGGTTGATCGTTTTCTCAGTTCTGGTTTGGAACCGTGATCAAAGAGGTCCTTATTGGTTCTGGGGAAGAGTGTTTACTGCTCTTGTCCAGGATCCGAGTTTGGTTGAAACGCCAGCTCCAGACCCAATGCCTGCTGATGCCTTCTACAGACACATGTGCTCATGTGCACCATCACCCTCCGTACACATAGTTAAAATTATTAATAGTAAAGAAGTCTTTATTGCTTGAGGTGGTGAGGTGGTTCCCAGGAGATATTCCTGAATATAGCTCCTCTTCAGTGGGTAGTTAGTCTCATCTGCTGGGTGGTCTGTCCTGGGTGGCTTTGAAGTTCCTGGAATCTAAGGTGGCTCGGGGAAAGGGTAAGGAAAATGACAGCCCTGTGCCCTCAGCCAAAGTAAAGGCTGTAGACATAAAATGCAGGCAAATGTTGAGCTTTCATCTCTTAACTCCACCTTGAGCCAAGGGAGGAATCGATACTTTTTAGCAAAAACATCTAGGAAAAAGGCTTTGTATCTAGAAAAATAAGCTGTAAGTTTCTTCTTATTTTGGAGTTTATTGAAATGGCCAGTGAGAAAGAAAAACGCTAGATAAGCAAAAAGATCTGTGAGGGGAGAGCAGCGCGGAGGAGGTGCGGAGGGCGTCGGCCTTGGGCTCTCAGAGTGCGACGATGTCGCGAGAGGCTGTGAAGGGACCTCTGTAGAGAAGGCAGGAGCCTGACAGCTTCCGTCCAGGCCAGCAGCGGTGACAGCCATCCGGAGTCATGAGCTACAAGGGCGAGCAGAACTACAGCGAGCGGGAATCCCGTTCTGCTTCCAGAAGTGGAAGTGCTCACGGATCGAGGAAATCTTCACGGCACACCCCTGCAAGGTCTCGCTCCAAGGAAGATACGAGGCGTTCTAGATCAAAGTCACGGTCCAGATCTGAATCTAGGTCTAGATCCAGAAGAAGTTCTAGAAGGCATTACACAAGGTCACGATCACGATCCCGCTCCCATAGACGATCTCGCAGCAGGTCTTACAGCCGAGATTATCGCAGGCGCAGCAGGTTTTACAGCCGAGATTATCGCAGGCGGCACAGCCACAGCCATTCTCCCATGTCCACTCGAAGACGTCATGTTGGGAATCGGGCAAATCCTGACCCCAACTGTTGTCTTGGGGTGTTCGGGTTGAGCCTGTACACCACAGAAAGAGACCTAAGAGAAGTGTTCTCTAAATATGGCTGCATTGCTGATGTGTCTTTTGTGTATGACCAGCAGTCTAGACGCTCAAGAGGATTTGCCTTTGTATATTTTGAAAATGTAGATGATGCCAAGGAAGCTAAAGAACGTGCCAATGGAATGGAGCTTGATGGACGTCGAATTAGGGTCGATTTCTCTATAACAAAAAGGTCCCATACCCCAACACCAGGAATTTACATGGGAAGACCTACTTATGGCAGCTCACGCCGCCGTGATTATTATGACAGAGGATATGATCGGGGTTATGATAACCGGGACTATTACAGCAGGTCGTACAGAGGAGGTGGTGGAGGAGGAGGCGGATGGAGAGCTGCTCAAAACAGGGATCAAATTTACAGAAGGCGGTCACCCTCTCCTTAACTACAGCCGTGGAGGATACAGGTCACGTTCCAGATTGCGATCATACTCACCTCGTCGCTATTAAAGCATGAAGTTGTAGACTTTCTGAAACCTGCCATAGAGCTGAGATATTGTTTGTGGACAATATTTTCTGTTGTCTCCGGTTTAAAAAGTGAACAGTGCCTAGTGAAGTTAGGTGACTTTTACATCTTTTATGATGACTACTTTTGGTGGAGTTGAAATGATGTTTTCATTCTGCATTTGTGTAGTTGAGTGCTTTGTTTAAAGTTAAGTGTTTTCAGAAAAGTGTGTTTTGCATGTATATTTTTACAGTCCAAATTTTGACTGCTGAGAAGTTTCAATTGTACAAAAGTTAATTTAAAAGGTTTTTCTACTGAATCCAGGGTATTCTGAAGATTGAAGCCTGTATGTAAAATGCTACCAAATGGCAAAAAGCAACAATAAACAAGTTTGATTTTTTTTTACTTTTCTTTCTAAATATCAATGCTTAACCATTCTTAAGTTTCCAGTAAAATATTTTAAAATAAAAATAAAAAAAAGATCTGTGAATAATGGGTCTAAGAAACACAGCATTGGAAGCAACGTTTTGATAATTGCATAGATGAAAATGACTAAAGAGGTTGGGAGTTGTCTTGGGAAGGGTATCCTGAATTGTAGAATGATTTTTGGATAGATATAACTAGGATTTTATGCCTTCACCCTAGCTCCTGAAGATGCTGAATTGTCATAGTGTAGATCCAACTGTGGGTTGCTGTAACATGAGGGGCCGGCTTGTTGGGGTTTCTGTCCTGCCCGGTACCCCACAGCTGGCAAGTCCCAGAGAAAATCAATCACACAGAGATCTCTATAAGTTATAAAGCTGATTGACCCATTAGCTCAGGCTTCTTGTTAACTCTTGCAGCTTATATTAACCCATTATTCTGATCTAAGTTAGCCACGTGGCTTGGTACCTTTTTCAGCTGTCAGCTTACATGTTGCCTCTTCGGTGGTCTGCGCAGGAGTGCCAGAGGGAGCTTCCTGCAGTCTCTTTGCTCCACCCCTACTTCCTGTCTGACTTTCCCGCCTATACTGCCTGCCTGGCCAATCAGCGTTTTATTAAAATATGATTGACAGAATACAGACAATTCTCTCACACCAGGTTGCTATGCAGTGTTGAAACAACAGTGAGAGCCATTCATTTCCAGGTGGACGTATTTCTGCAAATTGAAATGAATTACAGTCGGTTCTACATAGCTAAAACTTGTTAATGGTTTATGATGATGGTATTGAACAAGAATTTGTAATCGGGTTTTAGATTTTTTTCTAATGTAGTCTTTGAGTTTATTTTACCTGACATAATGAAAGTTTAATTTACCAAAAATATTTCTTTTCTTGAAATCTCTTGTCAAATAATCGCTTCTCTTGGGCAATCATCAAACCCTGCGTAGGTAATGTAAATGAAATATTTTCAGTTTGGAGAAAATCTCTCATTGATTCTCTATATTCTACTGACAATGTGTTTTAGTTTAAATTTGAATCTTTTTGCTTAAGGGACGGTTTATGATCAAATTCGAGATCTGAGGGTTTGTCTGGTTTCCAGGATTTAGCTGCTAAGTGTGAGTGTTTTGAGAATCTTCCTCTGAGCCTATAGAGGTCTACTATGCAGGACCAGAGGTTGCTCCTTGTTCATGACTGACAAGTGAGGATGCTAATTTGTTCTTTGCAGTAAGCTGCTGAGCACCTCTTGGTGCTTTCACACTAGGAGTGAAAAGTGAACGCTGTCGTTCCCTTAATCCAGCATAATTGAAGAGGGATGGCTTTATGTATTTCTTCAAGGATCTTCGTTTCTGTCATAAGCCAAAATTTGGTTCTGTTCCCCTTGGTTTGACTCACTGAGTTTGGAACCCCAGTGTGAGACACTAGACTTAGTTGATGCTCTTCTGATAATGCTAATGCTAATGCTAATGATAAGGCTGGTAAATTTGCAAGATGATTGTATATTTAGAAATTATTCGCTCGAGCTGCCCATTGTCGTATAGAACCTCAAAGGACATAGGTTTGTTTTGTAATTTACTCCTCTCTTCCTGTAGGTGATGGGTTCTGCGATGACTGTGTCATTGGGCAGTTTTTAGATTTCCGCTCAGTTTATTTATGTCACCCACATTTGAGCATCATTCCTGTGAGATAAAGCAAAGCTTTACTAAGGAAGTAACCAGGCCAGGTCATTGCTTTGCAGTGGACTGCAGGCCTGCAATGAGGCTTCTTGTGTGAGGAATGCGTACTCGAAGGTGTATTGTAGGAACTCAGATCTGGATCATATTTCGGTGCTTAGATGCTCTGACACGAGGTAAGCATCCCTTCGGAGGAGCCTGAGTCAAATAAACTATGCCTAGGCACTTACTAAATGTTATTTGCTTAGCACGCATGTGTGTGTGTGTGTGTGTGTGTGTGTGTGTGTGTGTGTGTGTGTGCGCGCGCGCGCGCGCGCGTGTGCGCACACCGGAGATCAACCTCAAGTGCTCTTCCTCAGGCACTACCAACTTTGATTTTGAGACAGGGTCTCTCATTGGACTAGGACTCCTTCAGTAGGGTAGATTGGCCAGCAAGTGAAGACTAGAGATCTTCTGTCTCTCGCTCCTCGGCACCAGGTTACAAGTAGACAGCACCATGCCTGACTTTTTTTTTTTTTTCCTTTCTTTTAATCAAGTGTTCTGTGGACTTGAGCTAAGATCATCAAGCTTGTAAAGCAAACACTTTATCAACTGGGTGACTGCTCTAGCCCTATTTAGTTGTTTCTTTTACAAAAAAAAATCACAATAATAAAGACAAAACCCAAAAATTCCGTATGGTATCAGTCATGTGGAAGCAGAAGAACATTCGTGTCTAGAAATGCATGGGGTAAGGCCTTCCTAGGACATTAACGATAGTCTACAAAGAAATGCATGGGGTAAGGCCTCCCTAGGACATTGAAGATAGTCTACAAAGTTTGCCCCAAATTACCCTGCAGCCACTTGAAAGGTAGATGCACAGTTGGTTACAAAACTCAGTTATAAGGTAAAAATATATCATTGTTCTGGACAAATGTGGCTATTTCTGTTACTATACAGGGAGAAGCTCTCCTTTTGAAGGGACTTGAGCACTGACAGTCTAACTTCACCTGAGAAAAGCCCTGGTGTGTTCTCCATGTTGTCTAAAAATAATTCTGTTGGTGAATGTGAGCAGAAACTTCATAGGACACCACTTTTATACACCGCGAGGAGTTAAAACTCAGGGTGGGCTCAGCACAGGGTTGCACAAGCAAGTGGAAGGAGTCTAGTCTCCGTAGTCCTCCTGACACCTGCTGGGTAGAGCTGTGTTGCTGATCTGAGACTGAAGTGGACACCGTGAGCAGATTTTGAATTCTTCAATCAAGGGAGTGATTGAGGCTTCCGTATGCCATAGTATATGGGCAGTGCCAAAAATATGTGAGAGAAATTCTTAAATTGCTAGTTTCCAGGGTTGGGGGTATAGCTTGGTAGAATAACACTTGCCCAAAATTTGGCACCCCGTACTCAATCCTCAGCATAGTGAATTTTCCTAGCACCAAAGAATGGAAAAATCTAATATCTCCCATCCAACTTCAGAGGTAAAACTTTTCTTCAAATCCCCATGAAGATTCCAGTTTATTTGTAGTCAATACTAACATTCATTTGAATGAAATCTGACAGTGTTAAGGATGCCTGGGAACAAGGGAGTGTGGAGTTGCTTTGGATTAGCGTTGTTGGCCTGTGAGGACATGCGAATAATGTCAGAGTTGGTTATATTAGGTTTATTCATGCATACGAAGTCTGAAGAATATTTCCTTCCTTTATTGGTTGCTCTAGAGCTTGTACTGAATCTCTGCAGTAGCTATGTCAAGTCTAACCATACCAGGTGAGCCTTTCTAAAGAGCACCCAGAAGGCTGAGGCATTGGATGCAAGGACACACACACACACACACACACACACACACACACACACACACAGAGTTCACTGTCATAGAAAATGAAGTAACAGCACCCTTCATCTTTGCTCTTATTCCCAGAACTACAGGAAAAGATGTCTCTCCCATTGAAAATATGGCTGTCTGTGACCAGGTGATCTTCAGGCCTACTTTTCTTACTTTTATTTTGTGAATAAAGAAAGTCAAAGGGAAGGCTGGGTGTCCTGGTTTGCTTTCTGTTGCTGTGAGTAAGACCATGACCAAAAGCAACCTGGGGAAGAAAAGGTTCAACTTATATTTATATTCTGTTACTGAGGGAAGTCAGGACCAGAACCAGAAGCCAAGAGCTGATGAGAGGTCGTGGAAGAGTGCTGCTTACTGGCTGGCTCTCCATAACTTGCTCAGTCCGCTTTCTTATAGAACCCATGACCACCTGCCCTGGGGTGACACTGTCCACTGAGCTGAACCTTCCCACATCAATCATTAATCAAGAAAATGCCTTCCAGACTTGCCTACAAGCCAGTAATCATGGAAACATTTTCTTAGTTAAGATGATTCCCTCGAGTAGAAAAAGGCAAGCTCTCCTGAGTAAATTGGGACCATGGGGACCATGGGAGAGGATTGAAAGGGAGGGGGAAGGAAGGGAGGGGAGCAGAGAAAAATGTATATCTCAATAAAATCAATAAAAAAAATTAAAGATAATTCCCTCTTCCCAGATATGTATAGGTTTGTGCTAAGTTGATAGAAACCAACCAGCATAAAGGGGACAAAGATGTGTCAGATCCAGAGAGGCAGAGCAAGGAGGAAAGTCCTTCTGACAGCTTCTCTGTGCACACTGCAGGTATTTCTACTTCAGTCCAGTGAATCCCAGGTACCGTCATGCACTTTCCTGTGTGATTTGTTATAACAATGCTGACAGACCTACAGAGGGCTTTTGTAGTAGAAACATGAATTATAGAGAGTCTCTTCTCACCCTATAAAGCCCAACACTGGACCAGAAGTTAATGGTTGCTCATTGAATTAATTTGGTTAGACAATAGGAAATAGGCTTTGGGTTGTAAATATCACGTTGATCTTCCTATGGGAATCACTGTTTGGTCCACAGCTGTCCCTGTAAACCTAAACCAAGTGGAGAAGGCCTCTTGGTCTTGGTGGTGGTGGTGAGATGTTTTAGAAATGCAAATCAAAAGCCTAACCATTCTATCAATTGGCAATACCTGTTTCAACCTCACGTTCAATTTCATCTTCTCAAATAGTTTTATGTAGCATCTGTAGATCAATTCTGCTTTTGGTTGACATTGTCCTTTTGTTAAAATCTTGGCGTGCCATTTGTAAGTTTTATGCTCTAGGAACCAAAATGGATATTTCTGATTATGGTTTATTGATCATCTTGCCTTCTATAAGATCTTGGCCAGGTGGTGGTGATGCATGCTTTTAATCTCAGTCCTCAGGAGGCAGAGACAGGCAGATCTCTGTGAGTTCAAGGCCAGCTTGGTCTACAAGATCTAGTTCCAGGACAGGCTCCAAAGCTACAGAGAAAACCCTGTCTCGAAAAGCAAAACAAAACAAAAAATAGATCTTTTCCCCCAA